ATTCGGGCCCATTCCCCAGACTGTCCACACCCTCTTGTATCCCCCTCACTACTTAACATACCCACACTGTTTAGTGTCATAGTCACAGAGCTGTACGGCACAGAAACAGACCCTTTGGTCCAACTCCTCCGTGCCGACCAGATATCCTAAATTAATCTAATCCCATTTTCCAGCATTTGGCCCGTATCCTTCTAAACCCTTCCTATTTCATGTCCCCATCCAGATTCCTTTTAAATGTTGTAATTGTACCCGCCTCCTCCACTTCCTCTGGCAGCTCATTCCGTACACGCACCATCCTCCGCATAAAAAAAATTACCCCTCAGGTCCTTATTAAATCTTTCCTCTCTCACCTTAAACCTATTTCCTTTCGTTTTGGAATTCCCCACCCTGGGGAAGAATCCTTGTCTATTCACCCTATCCATGTCCCTTATAAACCTCTGTAAGGTCACACCTCAGCCTCTGACACTCCAGGAAAAATTGCCCCAGCCTATTCAGCCTCTCCCTATACCTCAAACCCTCCAACCCTGGCAACATCCTTGTAAATCTTTTCGGCACCCTTTCAAGTTTCACAACACCCTTCCCGTGTCGTTGACAGATTTGGAAATATTACAGATCGGTTTTTCCACATCTGGATTATTGGACTGACGGGGTTCCTGCACTGACCCCCCCAATAGTAAGAGTCTGTCACCCGATCTGTTCGTTCATACCCTTGGCATTCTGTCTGTTCGAACATTCTCCGTTCAAGTGAGTACATCCCCCCAAACCCCATACGCTTTGTTTCCTGGCTTCCTGCGTAGGATAAAAGCCTTCTGCAAGTGTGCTATGCTACTGGCGTAACCCCCAAAACACTGCAACAAGTTTGAGTAACACGATTTCCCTTTCATAAATCCGTGTCAACTCTGCCATTTCTTTCCAAAGCCCAACACGCTCCAATATTTTCTCTCGTACTGAGGTCTGTGGCTTTCACTCTCTCTGTCACATATTTCATTTACCCTGTTCTATCAGTGTCTCAATTGCCCTGAGACGGAGGGGATTTTGTTTTGCTCTTGGATAGATGTTTTGCAATCCGAGGTGTCCAAGAGCAGCCAGAAGATTGGTTTGAGCCTTACGAGAAAGAACACAAAGGAACAGGGTTTATTGCTCAGCACTCTAAATGTACAGCCCTCACAACCGCACCCCATCACAGAGGGGGCGTACAAAAAAAGACAACGATACAAAGAGGGAAGGAAGAGTCCAAAATGTTCCAGTGACCCTCGATTCTCTCCGATTCCAGACCTCCCGATTTAATTTCCATTCGCTCAGGATGCGAGGGGAGAGGGAAGGCATCAGGTAGTAGATTCACAAAGGCTTGCGGTTAACAGGACTGAAGATTCCAGTGTTATTGGCAAGGCTAACCACGACACCTTGACATTCTGCTGGTCATTCGCGACACACTCGGGGCTGTTGGGCAAGTTGCTGTCCAAAACCTGCAGCAAAAACTTGGCACACAAGCACGGGAGGGAGTAGGGGACGTTTCAATCCTCTTCGTTTCCCCCCACTCCCCGCTATCTACAAAAGAGAAAAAAGGTACGACGCAATGCGGCTGAAGAGAGAAACAAAGTCGTCGAGGCTCTCCCTCTTAGACCCATCAGGCCAGACACAAAGAGTTTCAGAATGAGGTGACAATTTGCAGTCTGTGGGGAAAAAATGCCAGTGGGAACGCAGGTCGACGCACGGAGAATGTGCCCCGAAACAACCACGCGTGCCCAGGCAGAATTCAAAATACAACGTGGCGTTTTTTTTGTGTGTATGGGTGTGCAGAGGAAGATTCCAGTGTTCATATATGGTTGGCGAGCCCCACTGCAGACTCCCTCAGCGACCTGCAAATCGGTGGCTCAGACACACTGTTTGGGAGGTTGCTGACCAAACGTGGAATGTCACTGGTGACGTACTGGCACCTCCCTCCTGTTCGATACTGTTAGGCAGGCTGAGGACAGAGCCTTCGGAACTAGGACTTGATTGGGAGGATAAACACTCGTGATACACGCTGAAAGTGAGACACGATTCCACCACCCAGAGCCTCAAACCCAATCAGTGGTGTGCACGACAGAAACACACACACACATCTCCTTTAGTGATCCAGAGAGCAAGAGAGAACCAGAACAGGAGAGAACAATTCAATAAAAGTGTTTCAGACAGGAACTAGGAGTGTCTAAATCTCATGAAACCATCTGCAGTCAGTGTGAACTGTTTGGAACCTTTAACTGCGCTGATCCCTGGGAATGTCCTGAAGGCCACACACCATGTTCGCTGGGAGAGCTTGGTCTACAAAGACACAAGGTGACAGAATACATGTCAGATACAGAGTAAAGCTCCCTTTACACTGTTCCCCCACCCCGCCGCTATCAAACACTCCCAGGGACAGGGACAGCACGGGGTTAGATACAGAGTAAAGCTCCCTCTACACTGTCCCCCATCAAACACTCCCAGGGACAGGGACAGCACGGGTTTAGATACAGAGAGAAGGTGCCTGTACTGACCAATCTGTTGGGGATAGGGCAGCTTCAGGTTGTTCATGATCTCTATGAACTCCGGCAGTGACTTGGAGAGACGCGGATTGAGTCTTTTCTCCTCTCCCACTGTGGTAACGGTTTGACCTGGAAGGGGAAAACACAGATTCGAGATGGGAAACTCTGGCTGAAAGGTACAGAGAGGCACCAGGGAATACAGGAGGCAGGCAGGGGGAGCACACTGCAGCCTTCGGGGTCAGAGGGTGAGAATGAGGGAAAGGGAGGGAGGGCAGGACCAGGGGGGCAGGGTGTAATGAGGGTGGAGGGGAACAATAAGGCTTACGTGAGATGGAAATGGAAGAGGAGGAGGCAGGCACAGAGACAGCAGCGGGGTGGGGTGGGAGTTGAGGTAGGGGCAGAGAGAGCAGGAGAGCACGCATCTGGGCTTAGTAAATGCCATGCCTTACCTGTGTAATCATGGGCTGGATACAGCAGACACTGATCAGGGAGGGTGAATATCTGACTGTGCACTGAGCGGTACAGAGACTCTGAGCTTCCTGTGTCAGAGACAGAACACACTATTAATAAAAGCTACACTATAGGGCACAGAGCACAACACACGGCAGGGTATATCACTGGTGTCTCTCAGTCCCCTCTCTCTCTCTCTCAGGGAGATATCTGTACACTGACTGGTGTCTCTCA